AAAGCTTTAAGAGTTTTAAAGCTTTATAACTTCCGAAATATTGTACATTTCATCAAACGCATGCTACAAGTTGTTGATATTGACGTTCTTCAGCAAATTCTAAAGTAATAATTTGAAAACGATCAAATCCTTCCGAGTTTTTAGACATTTTTCATTTTGGTCACGTGACACACCAAATATGGGCATGGTTCGAAATATTTAAAGGGAACGTGAATTGAACAAACACTACAACGTTTGATGCCCACTGGAGTCCAGGAACCAAAGTTATGGAGGTTTAGATATTTCCTTAGCAACATTTTTGTGGTTCCTTGTAGTTTAGGTTCTCCCCCCTTAAATTGTTGTAGTGGGCAAGTACTCATGCATTTTGTACGTGTCACAACGCAGCTGCGAGGCATGGACGTTGCACAAAACACTTCCTTGCAGTTAGAGTAGAAAGAACTCGCCAACAAATAGTTTAAGCTTAATACGTTTTCCTTAAAATTTTCACTCCTTGATTAAAGTAAGCTATCTAAATAATTTCAAAATCCAAACGAGCGATATATCACTTTTTTTCTTCATAATTCTTCCCTTGAAAAACTGACTTATTACATGAAATTTTCGCGACACGTTATACTTTCGCGAATTTGGAGTGGCCATATTTCGCGACACTTTGCGGGCAATTTTAAAAATCAGAGTCACTTATTTTTCGCTATTTCATCCAAAATCTTGCGATTTCATCCGAGCGTTTGTATCGAATATTTGCGTGTATACCGGTATATGGCGCAATAAAACGATAAAATAAACACGACCTACCATTTGAACTACTTTAATGAAGTTTCAAAATCATGAAATACAATGTTCTTATGAATTTTGACAAAAGTCGCGACTGATACGTGATGATTTAATATTATAGCGTTATTTAATTTATAGATAACATATAACGTCATTTAATTTTCGCGCCAGCAAATTTTCGCGACACTCTTTTTTCGCGACGCGATTTTGAAAATATCGCGAAATTCGCGAAATTAAAGTGTCGCGACAATTTCATGTAATAAGGTAGTAACTAACGTTTAGGGTTTAGCGTTTGGAGAAAAAAGGATTACAATGTTACCTGGCTCTTGCAAGAAAATGCAGATGTGTTATGCTTCTTTTTTCTCGTATTGAATTGATGTATTGATTGATATCCAGTCAAAATCTGTCACCGTACTTTTCTTCTTCTTCTTTTCATAAAATAAATCATTTCCTTCAAAACTGATTACGTATCTAAAGAATGACTATTAAACTTTCAAATTCAAGGTATTTTCAACTCAATACTTACCTTCACTTTCGGTCTGATTTTTCCTGATTGCGGCTCTCGCCAGAAGAAAAGCTACTTTTAACACCTTTGTTTGTTGTTTTAAATAATTCAAAACGTTTCTATTCAAGCAGAATTCAAGACGAAAATCCCCCACTTTACATCAGACTCTGCCGCTAATATTGTTTTGACGAGTTTTAATAAGGTTGAAATGCAGTCTAAATCCGCTCTAAAACTTTGAGCGATTTTCTTTTCTTCTGTGACTGAATGGTAACATTCAATTTTTTTTTGTAACACGAATAATCCTGAGCTACAGTGGATCTTTGTTTTTAAAGGAAAATCCGACCGCTGTGTCATTGGCGAATTGACAAAGCTGTAAATCTCGGCTTGTAATGAGGCGGTTTGTTTGCAAGTCTTTCACTTTGACGGACTTTTTTTTTTGTGGAACAAGTAAAGACGAGAAATGTTTCATTAAGATACCGCACTTTCCATTTGCGTCATGTTATAATCTTGAAATGTTTCCAGTTTTTCCTGATTTTTTTTTTATGGCCGCCCGAAATTTAGTGACATTTGGATAAATTATAATGCAAGTATTTTACAATTATTACTCCATTATTATTTCGCACTTTGAACATGCCTGCTAGAAAATATATTCATGGTAGCAGTTCGTATATTTTTATTGTTTTCCACGAGGTATACATACGTGTCTTCAAAGAAGAGATCGACAAGCGGTTATGAAAGTATTTTATCGTTGCTACGAAAGAGTAATTCCTCCCTACTCCATTCACCTGGAGGGATTTTGACACTCTACTCTTGGGGAGGGCGCGAAGGGTTGTGTGAGCCCACGATGTCATCCTTTCCTGGATTGCGGTTGGATGTCGAATGAAGCCGAATATCGAAAGTTGCATGTTGAAAATGCAGTATCATCAAGACGGTATTAAAGACCCGAAACGTTGAGTATGTCAAATGAGTAATCTACATTGTTGAATATGAAAACTTGGATGTAAAATGCAAGTGGTTCCCATTCAGAATTCGTGGACAAGAAATCGCCAATGTCGCATGCCGAATGCGTAATGTTGAATGTCAAAATGAAGAGTACAATGTACAATCGTTAAGGTTGAATCCGGAATATGCAAAGTTGAATGTCGAATTGTATAATGTAGCCAAAATTCGTAAAGTAGAATGTAAAATATAAACATCGAATTTTGGCGGGGATGGAACTCCATAGTAATTCGCCACTTTAGAAACGAGAAGCAATCTGGGGCGAGTCTCATCTCGCAGTCGCTTGTGGGACCGTTAGTGGGGACAAAATGACGGCCAGCTTGACGACACGTAATCCGCGGGCTCAGACATTTCTCAGATTCGTTCCTCCGACAGTCTTGGTATCCCTGGGGTATACTAACTGGTAACCCCAGGATAAGCTAATCTGATGATTGTATTAGTTGCTTCCTTCAACAACTCGATAGACAAAGAAGAAGAGTGGAAGTAAAAAATTATCTAAGTAGATATGACTTCCGAGGGGAACATATGTCTAACCCCAAGGGTATTACTACACGTTTAGGGTTGTCGAGGTTTTGAAGTGACTGGTACTTCTTCTTCTGTCATTAGAACATACGTTTTTCATCATTTCATAGCCTGCGTAGCAGTTGACCGCGGTCAAACGTAACAAAATAAGCGGCGAAGTCGGTCAAAGATAAGGGTTTTACTTTCAGAGCTTAAAGCTTGTTAGTTTTTCTTCAATTTTTTGAGTTTACTAACTTTTTTTATGATTTACTAAAAAAGTTCCAAGCTACTGAAAAGTTACCATTTCGCGCTATTAATACTGGTACCCACTCCACAGCGGTCAAAAGTTTGACCGCTGTGAAGCGTAGCAGGCGCAGAGTAGAGAAGACCCCGAGTTTATAACGCGAGAGAGGAAGAAAACGTATCTTTTCTCGCGCGCGTCCCTAAAACCTCGCTCTTTTCTCCATATATGCGAGTGAAAACAAGTTTAAAAGACCACGTTAACAACCATTTTTCATCGCCAATTTGCAACACCGATCATCAATTTACTCTGGAACGGCACAACGAATATGTTACATTCTTTAGTTTCTAGAGTTTTCGGTTCCAGGTGGTTTATTGTCCTGTGTACCTATTCCATGCAGGACACCTGGGATGATCTTACACCATGTCTAGGCTCTTACAACTCGAAAATAGACTACGAACAGTCCCTCTTTTCCTTAGTTCGTTGAGCGAAAAGCGAAACAAAGCGAAAGAGAAGGGAAATTGGCCGCGCGAAAAATGGGGGCGTTTCTCCCCATCCATGTCCAATACTCTAGAACTGATACGATCCGTGAATGGCATTGCACGACCTATACGATTCCGTAAGTTATCCGTACGACCCATACAGGTCGTGAAACAATACTTTGTACAGATGGTGAACTGCATATCATTAGCTAGTGACAACAAGGTGTCCGATCGTACGATCCTTACAATGGCTTACGGGTCGTACAGATGGCGGACTATATCCACACAATGTATATTCTTCGTTCTAAAAGCGTGAGTCCACAAACACACTAAACCCAATGTATATTCTTCGTTCTATAAACGTGGGGTCCTTGCTGTAGGTTACCAAGAACCAGGTCATGTGTATTGAACAACCCTCCCTCCATATTTTTCGACAGTGAAACGCTTCGTTTTTTTACCGAAAATGCAACAAAAACTCCGCGTCCACACTATCGTTTGCGCAGCGTTTTCCCGTCCACACTAAAACGCTTAACGTCATAACAACAGTCGTCTGCGCATGCGACAATAGACGCGCCCGCGATGTGAATGACGTCAGCGTTTTCGAAAGCCTCCGTTTTCGCTGCCCACGCTAATACGATAGGGCTCCGTTTTCAATGTCTCCACTCTGGACAGCGTTTTCAAATGTATACATTTTCGATGAAAACGATCGGCGTTTTTCGACCGTTGTAGTGTGGACGACATAGGCGAAAATTCATCAAAAGTATACGTTTTCAAACGAAAACGCAATAGTGTGGACGGGCCTAAGGGAAAGTATGGACTGCTCGTAGTCTAACTCGAGGATACTCTATGCAACAATGAACATCGTTGCAACGTTGTGATTCCACTTCCACTTCAAAGTCTTTCGTTTTGTCAAGTTGCAATCCATAAGAGTTTACTCCGTACGAAGGTAATCAGAGCCATCGAAAATTTCAGTATTAGAAAAACGTAGATAGGATTATTGTAACATCCACTTCAGAGAAGTGTTCAATGTTTGCCCACGCGGACAACAATCATATATGCTTATGTAGATGGTTGGCCCCCGGAGTCGTGCTGTTTATCCATATTCAGCATGCTGGGTTGCAAACAGTTGTTTCAGCAACTACCTCCTTCGTTCGAAAACATGATATTCCCTATCATGGATTGCAGAAGATATCTTGCTTGTTAGTGTCAATTCCTTGACGTTATTATTTCACTTGATTTTTCGTTTGATTGTTTTCAATGATTTCCTAGTTGGGCCGCCCTACAACAAAAAAGTATCCAGCCTTTGTCATCTTGCATTTCCCAACCACAATCAGTAGAAATTAAAGCAAAACAGTGTGTGGATAACTGTGTGAAGCGGTGATTGTGATTACCTGGAGTGAACAACGGCTTAACGTCATCGCCCAGTGACGCGATCGTCTGAACTGAGACAAGGTGTTGCACACAGCCAGCATGATGTTACCAGTTATTTTACCCTGGTTTGTGCTCCAGCCGGGATTCTAACCCGTGACCTCCGCTCTGCAGTCTGGCGCCCAACCAACTGAGCTAACCTCCAACCTCTCTTTCTTTCCTCCCCCATTTCCTCCTGCATGTCTTGCGCAGACTGAACCAAGAGAGGATGATCTAAGAGAAGGAGTCTCCGTGCCCCATGATAATTTGTTTTGAAAACTATTAATAGTTTTGCGACATGCTGTAAAAGTTATTTTTATTTCCTTCTGATCGAGGCTCCGACATCACGTTACTTGAACTGACCAATCAGGTAGTGCTCTTAAAATAGCTATGGATTGAAAGTTAAAAATAGATTTTCATCGGAGGAGACCCATGTATGGGGGAATGCATCTCTTAGATCATCCTCTCTTGACTGAATCGCCTAATAGTTTCGCTAACTGCATTTCTCTACCATGATACTGACTTGTTGTAGAAGACGGACTCTTGACGTCCTTATTGCTGTGTCTACTTTCACCTGCTGGCGTGAAAGGAGATTATTTAAAACAAGACCAGTTGAATAGACGTGTTGATCGTCACAGTAGCTGGACGTATGCTTGATATTTTGGTAAGAGTATGCTGTTCTCTTCTACTGTATACCTTTTACCCTACCAACCCAAAGTGTAGTAGTCAAATCTTTGTTTGCTTTGGCTTCGCGTCTGATGAGCTTTGTGATACTCGTGCATCCGGATCTAACCAATAGGAACGAACATGTTGATTTCTCGGCCAATGAGATGTAAAAAACAAAACCTATCGCGAATTGGCTTTGGCAGTGATAATTTATGAGTAGCATCCGCGAAGATCATGTGTAGTAATTCTCGGAGTTAAAACATGTTGTGTACGTGACTGAGCACTATGATTGGTTGCTTGAAACCGCGCAACTTTCTCCAACCAATCAGAGCGCGAATATGCTTCTCGACCAATCAGGTTCAAACCTGTAGTGTTCGTCACGTGACCTAATACATAAAGGCGGAACGAGGGAGTACACGTGGAACTTGAAAAGCGTTTTATGAGTTTCGTGTCAGTTGTAGTCTAGTTAGATTCAATTCCGGGTTAGCTTAAAGGAGCTACGTCACGGATGGTGTATCTTGAAAAAATTGGCCAATTTATTCAAGTTCGCCGTTCGCAATCCGTCTTTATCTTCTCCATCCTCAACCATTCTTGTCCATGTTTGGTTTATTATTACCTCTTTGGTGTTTTCTATCTTTTGTAAGCTATTATTTTGAGGCTTTCTTCAATTTGAAGGTGATTTTGCACTTCGAAAAAATGACTTAAATTATCGTGACATAGCTCCTTTAAATGCGGTTATAAAGGAAATACGTAATTACAGGACAAATACAGCAAAACGCAAAAACTAATCGTGTGTAACTGTCACAACTTTTTACCACGCGCTGCGATATATACTCGCATGTGCTTCGGAAGGCGTGAGTGTATTAGAGTTGAAAACGTTGATCGGAAAGCTGCATTTGGTCTTCAACAAAACGAAAACGAGAATATCTGAAAGCAGCATGTTTCCTTTTTCATACTCGCTCATGAATACCAACTCAAAAACATAATAATAACCTCTCTTTAATAGTATTTTTTGCTATTAAATTTCATCAGTCTTCAATTTCAACAGTTCGTGGGCAAATAACCTCTGGGAAAGACTTTATATTTATAACATAGTAATGATTTTTTTAAAACGCCCTTGAAACCTCGTTAGTTATGTCTGATCTGGCCATCATCCGCATTCACAGCTCATAATGATCATCATAAAGTTTAAGGGTCGCGGAGCGGGTCATGCTTTATACGTATGCAGATGTGGTGACTTTCGCGAATCTTGTTCAATTAGACCTCTATTTATAGTTGTTGTCGCCGCTGCGTAAACTGGGAGGCCTCAGGGACATTTACACTACGAGCAGCCCTTCTTTCTCTTAGTTCATCGACCGAGAAGCGAAATAAGGCGAGAGGGAAAAATGGCCGCGAGAAATCTGGGACGAGACGCGCGTCTCGCCCCAGATTTTCGCGCGGCTATTTTTCCCCTCTCATGTTATTTTGCTTTTCGCTCGACGGACTAACGGAAAGAAGGACTGGGACATTGTAAATTACGCATCTTTTTACTATTTGACCAACACTTGATTTCTGTACCATACAGTGTTGGCACAGACAGAACTTTAATTTGAAAGTTGCAGTTTCGACCCAAGGTTAGGGTTAGGTCTTATCTGTTTTCCATCCGTTCTCTTTACCTCGACGACTTTCTATTAATTTTAAACCATAATTTAGAAGTTTCATTCGATTTAACCCTATTCAGACCGGGGTGGGGAAGGGGAGAGGGATCTGCCCGCCGAAACTTTGACCGTTAATAACTTTTTTTTAATATTGAAACTAGGGGTTCCATATTGTAAGTGAAGTGCTGCCACATTTGTAATCGCTTAAGTGAATTTCATCATCATCGTTGTTTGGGCTTCTTGTAGTTATCAGTGGTCATACTCCTGATATACGCGAAACTTATAAAGATCTAAGGTTGTTGGTGATTTGTTTAAAAAGAGAACGTGGTTTTGTAGCAGGCTTAATTGTTTATAAAGAGGCTATAGACCCAAGGTCAGTTCGTGTTTTACGCTAGAAACAAGGCGGCCTTTGGTATAAAACAATGTCACGCAAGACCCTTTCGTGCAATAGCGTCTCAAAATAACAAAGCCAACATCTGGTAGTGACAGACACTACAATGTCACAGCCAGATTTGGCACACTATTTTGCTACTGCTGTGGTATAAATTCGTCTTCACTTTCCAAATATTTAATTTGCGATGCGATTCAAGTAAGGGACTGTGCAATAATTATCAGGGGGGGGGGGGGGGGGGGGGGTTGGAAAATGGGCTTCATGTAGGAAAATATTAGGTAATACCCCCCTCCTAAAGAGTGAATTTAGTTATTGCCCCCCCTCTAATCAGTCCGAAATTATGTACGACCCCCCCCCCCCCCCCCCCCCCATCACAGTATACAGACAACTTTATACTGAAGAACCCTTCATTTTCTCTACACGCACCTGTGGTTTAAAACCCTTATAACAGAAAGAAGAGCTCCTACTACATGGAACAAACATCACCTCCGTAGCAATGTACAACAGAGCCATAGCAGAAGGAAAAGAGCATGTGTGTTAATTTCAGGTCCGCCGGAAAAATTTTCGGTCCCCACCTTATAAATAGGTATGGATTCGTCAATGTAATATTGTACTTGAAATAATAAAAGGAATTCGGCGAATGAGTTCGTGAGCGGTCCATCTTAGCGGTCCGTATTGCAAATTCGGACCGCTCTGGGAACCAATCAGAATGGTCCTTTTCATCGTGGACCAGTTTGCCATATAATAAATGAATATTATTGCCATGTTATTAATTTTTAGATAATTACAATAGAATCTGTAAACGGCGATCCCCTAGGAAAAGTTTGAGAAAACTTGCTGGGATCTTCTGCCAATAATGTCAATACTATGTAATAATGAGAATTGTAAGAAGCAATGGGGCAAAAATAACAAAAAAAACTTGAGTCATTACAAAATATAAACATCTGACAGTCTGGCCCCGTCACGCAACGCTTCCTTGCTCCGATAATAATTTTAAAATTCTTTCAACTTTCATGCAACTAAAATGACAAAAATGTTCAGCAAACGAAGACCACATCTTTGATTTCTAAGCAACTTTAGGATGGGGTATTATTTTGTTATCTTGTCATCAAATAAACTGGGGCTTCATGTTGTCTGTAATATTTACAATGTAATGCCGGTCAGATTTAATAATTAAGAACGTATAAGTTTCATGATCATATATATTTTAAAGCTTTCTGTCGATTATTCGCTCCTCTATGTCGTTGGCACTTTAGTGGTAACTATAACTAGTCTATTATATAATGTTTCTGGTTTTGGAGCTTGTGATTATGTGTGCTTGTTGGGGAAGGGGGTGGGGGGCGGGGCTCTGAAATTTCAGTAATACTGGTTAGGGGGGCGAGGGGGGGGGGGGATTTGAAAATTTGATGGCAGCGTGAAGGGTAATAATAACTGATTTTGAACCAGTTTATTAGCATGTTAGAAACACGCAGTTCAGTTGTTAGGAGTCCAGTTCAAATCTTCCACTGCGAAAACTGTGAGCTTCAAGGAACAGATATCAGATATCATGGACAATTATCAGCGAATATATTTGAAGCCAAAAGGAGGTTTAATATTTTGTTTTATTATCCTTCAAATATTTTCTATATTTGCGTTTATATCTTGACTGACAAACAAATTTCAATCGAGTTTCCGTTGGGCGGTTTACCCACAAATATTAACATTTGCTAACTTTTGCTAACAAATTGCTTGCTCATGAATACATTTCACCAGAAATAGTTTTTGAGGTAAGGCTGTTTCTGACTATTTCCATTGCTTGATCCCTACGTGGACTGGCTCCGAAACCTCTTTTTAAAATAATGTTCTGACCCGCAACGAATATTTCTTTGAAAATCGCTGAACCCTTGAACAATCCATTAAACATCTGGAAGTTTCTAGAAGCCCAGAAGATTGTTTACGTGCAGTTGTCCTCGTAATAACATCTCTTTCAAGTGAGTGTGTTTCTCTTTTGTTCCTGTTATAGAAACTTAAACAAAGTTTGATCGTGGAGATGCAAAATCGCGTGCAACATTTTGTAAATTTGGGAACTCATTGTGATGTGGCAGGCACTGAGTTCGATTAAGTCTGATGATATTGGCTTATGTGATATTAAAAATTGTTTTGTTTGAAAGAAATCAACAAACCGTAATTTGAAAGCGTTCCAAATCTATTGTACAAACCCCCTCTATTTTTAGTAAGGCAGTCTCGTCTGAGTTAACACTGAAGTACATTAGTTTGTTTTCTTGAGCTCGCACTCCGTTATCATCTCGATGTACACTAATCTCTGAAGGTAAGTTCCTTGAAGTTATACTCGTCTAGTTTTAAAATTCGGTGATCGCATTGCCTTTCTTAATCTTGTATTCTAGGTTTTGATTAGTTCGTTGATAAATTAATACCAGCTATGTCGGTCGTTCGCTTGTGTCGTGCCTATCAGTTGGCCATAGGTGAGG